AAAAAAAAAAAAAAAAAAAAAAAAAAAAAAAAAAAATTGCTGAGCTGCTAAGCAATCCAGTTCCTTTCAATTTTAGGGTCATCTCTAATTATTATGGCTTTGAGGAAAAAACCATCATCTAAGCATTTCCAGATATCAAAGATTTGGCTTTTCACACTTGTTAATCTGATAGAATTTACTGGCAATGACGTGACATATAGTTTAATTCACCATCACATCTTTTATTGCTTTAATTGTTCTCCCTCCCTAGGTTGGTTGGGGAGCAAAGTGTAAGCCCAGGTTGCCCAATCTAATTTGGCAGTTTTAGTTCCAATGGTATTGCAGAATGTACTAATGGGAACTAATATTTGCTACTGCACAGTGACAAGAACAAGAATACTGTGATTAAGAACAATAGTTCAAATTTGGCCAAAGATTAAATGGCCTAGGCATTCAGACTTCTGTCTTATGGCTCCTGTCTTTACAACGACCCTGGGGTTAAGGTGGCATATTCCATTCAAAGGCTGCATGGTGAGTTATCTACGATTTGCAAATTATGAGCTTCTGCAGCAACAAACTTGGAACTTGGGGATGGTTCTTGGGGATGGAACTTGGGGATGGTTCTTGGGGATGGAACTTGGGGCCTGACTTGTTAAGTTCCAATTCTTTTCATATTCTCTGGAAGTCTGTTTCATGTCATCTGGACCATTTTGATGTGCCTAGAAATCAGTATTTTTCCCTCCCTCAATCCTGCATGGGGTCAGATCTATACCTCTGTACACACCCTAAGGCCATAAACATAATCCTAAAATACAAATAACCTGTGTAGCAAAACTATACGGCATCTCTACGGATGGTTATGCTCCAGCATATCTTGGGATTCTAGGAAACTAAGATGAAACAGATAGGAGAAAGGGTGGTGCATAGGTGAACCATGGACTTCCAAGTAAGGGGTTTGCTGGTTTCTCTTCTGCTGCCACAGTAGCTTACATTCGAGCAGAAAAACTACGAGATCTTCAATACTATAGTCAGAACAGCAAGAGCAACTTCCACCTTACCTTGCAAACATTGAGAGCTTGGACAATAGTCTAACAAATTCAATTTCAAACATCTGTCGAGAATTGGAGGATACTGACATTCTAACATTTCAACATGCCCCCAAATTTGTGGAAAGTACACCTGTTTACACCAGGATAGTTATATCTCTGAGTCAGACGTGGGGAAACTACTACTCCAGAACAGGATTCTCAACCAGAATGTGATCCCCCTGGGCACATTTAGCAAAGTCGAGAGACATTTTTAGTTATCACAGCTGGAGTTGTGTTAATGGCATTTAGTGGGTAGGGGTCAGGGATGCTGCTAAACGCTCTATATGCATAGGACAGACTCCTAAAACAATTAATTATCTGGATCAAAATGTCAGTAGTGCTGAGATTGAGAAACCTTGGTTTAGTTGTTTGTACCACATGTCAGCGCAAATGAAGGAGCCAGAGATGGGTCACACTTTGACCAGATCACAGGGTGCAATCTGCTGACTGAAAATCAGCATGATGCTCTTTGAGAGATTAAATGCCATTAAGAAGTTGGTCTGTTTGCCTTTTGGGAACCAATCTGATGGAGACAACACTAGAAAAAATGGTCACACTCTCATATTTGAAATATAAATGAATCAACAAATATTTATATAATTGTATTGTTTACAAATACTACATTTTGAAGATTAAATGTGAAACTTTTGCACTGTCCTAAACCCAAATGGGCAGGTGCAAAACTAATGTCAGAAATTAACTCAGCTCTCATAAGACTCTTTATCCCAAATGAGAAAGGATTTTTTTTAATGATTTGAATTCCTATGTTCATGAAGAAAATGAAAGCTCTCAGCCTTATATTTGTATCCCTTATATTTGTTGTTTAGATTTTCATTTACAACAACAACAATAAAATATGTCCCTAAAATTGCAATGCTCAAAATCGGTTTTTATGACAAAAGTTTGAAACCTAGAAATGCTTGATTT